CGATTCAATGTTAATTTTTTTTCATTGGGAAACTATTACTATTAATTGCATCACAGGTATGATATCCATGAAAACTCCTGAAAAAGTAGGCGAATGTTGTGGGTGAAGGTAGGAAGAATGCCGATTGCGCCATTCAGTATAAACGTGGCGATATTGTGGCCATCAAAACAAGAGCTTTAGAAGTCAAAAACACTAATAAACTGGGCCAATCTGCGTTATTAGAATCTCGAAGCTGAACAAGTTTTCACAGATTCAATAAGTATTTTTCTTAGTTTTTTTAAACATTAGAATACATGCTCTCCCTTTCAAAAAAAGGAGAGCGTCGGGTGCAGACCATACACCACAAGTGACGGGTTAGTAGTGGTTCATAGTGATAGCTGATTTTGGTAAATGATAGTTGTAATTAGTGACAACTGATAGAATACAACTGCAACAGGCTAATCATTTCATTGGCAGAAAACATTTACATTTTGTGGAGGCCGTCGTCACTTGTGGTGTATGGTCTGCACCCGACGCTCTTCTCGTTTTTGAAGGGTGTATACGGATGGCGTTCATGCATACTTTGCTTCATGCGTTTCTGTATGTCATGTGACAGTCACCTGAATAGTCTCTCAGAAATATCAGCAGCGTTCAGGGCGTGATTCATGGATTAGGCGGTGTTTGTGTGTCAAAGACCGTGCGAAAAAAACATAAGCTGTTAGCGTAAGAGAGCTAGAGATCCTCAAAAGACTGCCTTTTTTCAGCCAACTACTCCTATCTGGATATACTTAGTCAAGACAGTATCGAACGACTCGTGGTCGACAAGCACATTGATACTATCGTTCATTTTTCGGCGCTTCTTAGCGCTGTCGGAGAACAAAACGTCAATTTAGCCCTGAAAATCAATGGACGTGGAGTGGAGAACATCCTCGAAGTCGCCAGGTCCGTGCCTTTAACGTATGAGATTTCGCTGAGCACTCGTGAGACCACTTGGCAGCATAAGACTTATCTCCGTGGATTTGCACAGTTCGACCCTTCAGCTCCTCCTGGGCGATCTGTACATACAGTAGCGGTCAAAAGTGTTCGCCGAAACGTTTTTTCGTGCATCATTTTTTCTCACTCAAACAGTGCCCTTCAAGTATTAATAAGACATGCCTTTTAAGCCTTCAAAACCTTGACTATTGAAGAGTTTAGATATTTGAAAGGAAGGCTTCAAACTAATCTTCAGATCTTTCTCTGGAGGGAAGAAATGAAATGCACGAAAAAGCGCTTCGGCGAACATTTTTGACCGCTTCTGTATACATATATGTATCTGATCTTAACACGTTTTGCTTGGTGGTCACATTCGCAAAGCACACTACAAAGAAAAACGACAAATGACAGGACAAAGCGCTGAAAATAGTATTTCTAAGAATTTTACAGCTTCTGACAGG